AAACCTGTTGTTGGAAAGAAAGGTGAAAAGAAAGCCGGCAAGAAGGCCGCTCTTGGTGACAAGAAGAAGAGAAGATCTAAGAGAAAGGAATCCTATGCCATCTACATCTACAAGGTCATGAAGCAGGTCCATCCTGACACTGGTATCTCCAGCAAGGCCATGAGCATCATGAACTCCTTTGTCAACGATGTCTTCGAGCGCATCGCTGGTGAAGCTTCCCGTCTTGCTCACTACAACAAGAAATCCACCATCACATCTCGGGAAATCCAGACGGCTGTTCGTCTTCTTCTCCCTGGTGAACTGGCCAAGCACGCAGTCAGTGAAGGCACCAAGGCTGTCACCAAGTACACTAGCAGCAAGTAAACAGTTCTAAACTGTTTGCAAAATACAAAACAACGGCTCTTTTAGGAGCCACCATATGATAACAAAGATCATGGTCTTATGCTAAACCAAACATTTAAAACAGAAAATAATATACAATATTATCCTTCTTATCCCTTGAAATAATTGACCAGTTGCCTCTTGTGTCGTCAAAACAGAAATTACGACATTTTTATTCCGTTGACAACATTGACCCGTTGCCTTTTTTGTCGTCTTGCCTTTCTTCACTACACTTATACACTGATCTCTGGAGTCTCAAATTTCCCTACCAACATCTTCTTTTATTCGAGTGTTTTCTCTGGTCTTTCTCCCTTCATAAAACATGGCCATAAAACATAAGCTAAATTCAATCAGACATTAAAATATCTTAGCGCTTTCATCTCGTTAATCTCAGGTCTCTCTACCAACATTTTATCTAAAAAGAGTTTGTTGGAGTATTTTCTGTGGTCTCTACCTTCATAAATCATAATAAGCTAAATCCATTCAAACTCATTTCTTTAGTCTCAGGTTTCTCTACCAATATCTTATACATCTTATTTGAATAATTAAAGTTTGTTGCATGTTAGTTTGAATAGAGTTTGCTGGGACTCTTGATTAGAGTATTTTTATGGTCTCTCTTCCTTCACAAATCATAATAACTTAAATTCATTCAAACTTCAAAATGTGCCCTGATCATATTTGTTTCAAAATTTGAAGGTACGAAGTACTGCAAAGTATAAGTATTTTTTTTCTTTAATTTTGACAAAACGAAAAAGAAAGGGAAAACCCCAAAACACAGTAATTATGAAGTATTCAGAAACGAAGCATCTTCTAAAGCATCCATACAAAGCGGTGCTCACTGTCGGTGACGATCTTTTGCCGCCTAAATTAACCGTTGATGTGACGCGGCGGTGGCAGAGGTAATTTGCATTTTTGCCGCCAAAAATCAAATATGGCAGTCATTTAAAGACGACCACGAGCCACCTTTTCTTCAGCTAACTGAAGTTCGAAACAACCACCTAGAGTTTTTTTAATCAGAAATAATTAAAGTTAGATCGTATTGCTAGGATTTCTAGTGTTTAACGTCGGTCCTTTCAACTCTGAACGTTGAGATTTGTCGTAACTGGTACCGTAACGCTGTATTAGAGCATGAACAAGCTTTATTGTATTTGACGTGCAAAACGTATCATGAAACTAAGAGAAAAGTTTTAAAGATTTTTGAGGGAGGTTTCTTTTCACGTTCAGAGCTTAGCTTCTCTCCTAAGTCCGTGATCGTGACACGCAAAGTGAATCAAGCTTCTGTCAAAGAATATCCGTCACACCACGCCACCTACACGTGAGTTTGGGTAGGTTTGGTTTGTTACATGATGAAACGTGTCTTCAAACCATAGACTCTCTGCTAGAATATAGTTCTAATTCTTCTTTCAACTTACTCAGAAATAAAGTTCTTTTTCTTTTTTTGTTTCTTTTGAGCCAAAAAGGTTCCACAATACTGGTATAAGGTTTGTGGTTTCTTTATGTGACAGCAAAGTTTCCTGCTAGCAGAGATTCTGCCAAGATACTAATACTAATAAGTATGAGTAACGTGTATATGAAAAAAATTGAGTAATGCTACTGTTAATGTTATTTGAGTAACATTACTCAATTTTTTTCATATACACGTTACTCATACTTATTAGTATTTCCCGTTTTCAATGAAATAAAATTTTATTCTTTCATGTGGTGTGGAAAATTACAATTTTGCTGTCTATGTATGATGTTTGTCAGTCAGACTGTTCGTTATAGTTTTGAGGTTTCTCATTTTGCGTTATTGGTTTTTCTGGTTCTTTTCGATTTAGCATTAGATCATGATCTTTCTAATCATGTGGTGGCTCCTAAAAGAGCCGTTGTCTTGTGTTGTAAACAGTTTAGAACTGTTTACTTGCTGCTAGTGTACTTGGTGACAGCCTTGGTGCCTTCACTGACTGCGTGCTTGGCCAGTTCACCAGGGAGAAGAAGACGAACAGCCGTCTGGATTTCCCGAGATGTGATGGTGGATTTCTTGTTGTAGTGAGCAAGACGGGAAGCTTCACCAGCGATGCGCTCGAAGACATCGTTGACAAAGGAGTTCATGATGCTCATGGCCTTGCTGGAGATACCAGTGTCAGGATGGACCTGCTTCATGACCTTGTAGATGTAGATGGCATAGGATTCCTTTCTCTTAGATCTTCTCTTCTTCTTGTCACCAAGAGCGGCCTTCTTGCCGGCTTTCTTTTCACCTTTCTTTCCAACAACAGGTTTTGGAGGCATGTTTCTCGAGTTCGTCGAATTCAGATATGAATATGATGTTGACTTCGGTGTATATCGTATTTATATCATTCTAAGCATGGATTACTTAGTATGCGGATCGAAATGATCTTTCTGTGATTGGTTGAATGTGTAGACATAGTAAATAATTCATCAAAGATCATATGGAAATAAGATCGGGTGTCAGGAAGGGTTTTTGCTATTGGTGGATTGTGATCCTTATTGTGCAGTGACCGAAGTATAAATTTTTTGGCGCTTGATTATTTCGACATCTTGACTTTCGTAAAGCAAACCGAAAATCTATCGTAAAAAATGTCTGGTCGTGGTAAAGGTAAAGCAAAGGGCACCAAGTCCAAAACTCGATCATCCCGTGCAGGGCTTCAGTTCCCAGTCGGTCGTATCCATCGTCTTCTCCGCAAGGGCAACTATGCTCAACGTGTTGGTGCTGGTGCTCCAGTCTACATGGCTGCAGTTCTCGAGTATCTGAGCGCTGAGATCCTCGAGTTGGCCGGTAACGCTGCCCGCGACAACAAGAAATCCAGAATCATCCCCCGTCACTTGCAGTTGGCAGTCAGAAACGACGAGGAGTTGAACAAGCTTCTTGGTGGAGTCACCATTGCTCAAGGTGGTGTTCTTCCCAACATCCAAGCTGTTCTTCTTCCCAAGAAGGCCGAAAAGAAAAGCTCGTAAACAGTTCTAAACTGTTTGCAAAACACAAAACAACGGCTCTTTTAGGAGCCACGACATGATAACAAAGATCATGAT